AGAGAAGCTCAGGGAGAGGCCCAGGCCCTAAATTCAAGGTCTAGTACCAGTGGCCCCAAAAAAGTGGGGGAAGAGAAGGGAAAGGGGAGAAAGAGGAAGAAGGGAGGGAAGAAGTAAGGAAGGAAAGAAGGAGGAGGGAGGGAAGGAAGGAAGGAAAAGAAGGGAATTCCTAGAGATACTAAGTCAGAGAAATAATCACATGTGCAGATGGCTTTGCCACTGAGCACTGCCAACCTTTCCCAGAAGACTTGGTGTGGGTGTGGGGAAGAGAGTATTTCATGGCTTTGTGTTTTGGAATGTTACAAGGCTATGCCTGTGGGCTGTGTCCTTCACTGGCACTTCTCAGCCGGGTTCCTTCCCTCTCCCCTTAGATGAGACAGGAAGGTTTAAATTGGCTAGAGCTGGATACATTCCCCACCCCACCCCCAAACAGTTATACTCTGGTAGAACTTCCTTTGTGTGCAGGTCTTATGTGGAACAGAACACTCTGGTGTGTTTCCAAATAGCTATTTTGAAACACATTCCTGTGCTGGTAACATGGAATATTATTGTTTCTATTCCATCTTTTCTTCACTGTTAAACCTAGTGAGATTTCATGAAAGTGGAAGGCTTTCCTTCATGAAAATGAGAGATCTTCTTAAGATCAGGATTCCAAGGAGTTTTTGTTGCTGTTGTTGTTTATAGTAGCTTGATACATAATTGTCAAAGCTTTACTAGGAGTGGTGGCTCATGCCTGCAATTACAGCACTATGAAGACTGAGGCAGGAGGCAGGAGAATCACAAATGTAAGCCAGTGCTATAGAGTGATGAAACCTTGTCTAAAAAAAAACAAAACTAGGGCTGGGAATGTGGCTTAGTGGTAGAGTGTTTGCCTAGCATGCATGAAGCCCTGGGTTCAATTCCTCAGTGACACATAAACAGAAAAAGGCAGAAGTGGTGCTGTGGCTCAAGTGGTAGAGTGCTAGTCCTGAGCAAAAGAAGCTCAGGGACAGTGTCCAGGCCCTGAGTTCAAGCCCCAAGACTGGCAAAAAAAAAACCACCCTAAACAAAAAAAGCAAATTTAAAAACTGTTGCCAAAACATGGAAGCACCCAAGGGTCCCTCAGTACCTGAATAAATACATAAACTCTGGCACCTCCAGACAAAGAACTATTACTGGGCACTAAAAAGAAATTAGCCAAGAAAAGACCAGGACAGTAAATGCAAGTTGCTGGGTAAAAGCAAATCTAAAAGGCTACATGTGATGCAATTCCAAACGTATTGCACTCTAGAAAAGACAAAACTAGCTAGGCATTGGAGGCTGAGATATGAGGATTGTGGTTTGAAGCATGGGGCAGGAAAGCTTGTGACTGCAATTAACCACCAAAAAGCTGAAAATAGAGCTGTGGCTCAAGCAAAAAAGCTGAGGGACAGTGCCCAGGCCATGAGTTCAAGCCCCAGGAAAGCAAGTGAGAAAAGGAGAGGAGAGGAGAGGAGAGGAGAGGAGAGGAGAGAGAGATGGGGGGAAGGGAGAGAGAGGGAGGAAAGGAAGGAGGAGGGAGGGAGGGAGAAGCCAGGTACCAGTGGCTCATGCCTATTAATCCTAGTTACTCAGGAGGCTGAGATCTGAGGATTGCAGTTTGAAGCCAGCCTGGGCAGGAAAGTCAGACTCTTATCTCCAATTAACTACCAGAAAACCAGAAGTGACTTGTGGCTCAAAGTGGTGGAGTGCTAGCCTTCAGCAAAAGAAGCTCAGAGACAGTACCCAGGCCCCGAGTTCAAACCTCAGGGCTGGCAAAAAAACAAACAAACAAAAAAATGTCCTATGGTTTCCCTTATTTGCAATAACTAGTATATGTCTGAATCAACCAGAAAAGGTCAAATAAGTTGATGTTAGGGGAATGAACCTCAAGTTAAGTATTCAAATGTTTTTTTTTTCTTTCATGCAATTGTTTCTAACATATTTACAAGATGATTTCTATGTTGCTTTGTATGTCCCTCCCCCATGATATAATCCATGCTTTCACTGTATTTGATGTTGGCATAATTTGTGGAGGGGAAGGGAAAAAACAAATCGTTTAACTAGGGATACAGGTGAACCCACTGCAACAATGAGATGTACAAGTCGTTATGTCGAAAAATGAACTTTACAACTTTGGTGGGGGAGGGGGAGGATGTGGGGGGAGTATGGGAAGAGATGGGAAGAGGAAACAAAGAGGAGGCAACAATGCTTGATAAGAAATGTACTCGTTATCTTGCCCATGTAATTGTAACCCCTCTGTACGGTATTCTCACAATATAAATAAATAAATAAACGGAGATGGGGGAAGAGAGAGAGGGAGGGAGGAGGGAAAAAAGGAAGGAAAAAAAGAAAGAAAGAATCTACAGGGCCAATAGGCTATAGACAAATTTTTGTTTTGTTTTGTTTTTTTGGGTCCGGTCATGGGACCTGAACTCTAGGCCTGGGCTCTGTCCCTCAGCTCTTCAGCTCAAGGCTAGCACTCTATCACTAGAGCCACAGTGCCACTTCCAGCTTTTTTTTTTCCTGCTTATGTGGTGCTAAGGAATCGAACCCAGGGCCTCATGCATGCAAGGCAAGCATGCGCTCTACCACTGAGCCACCTTCCCATCCCAGACATTTTTTTTTTTTTTGAGACAAGGTTCTTATTATGTAGCCCTGGTGGGCCTAGCTCATGATCCCCCTGCCTTCATAACCCTAGTGCTGGTAGTGGTGCACTACCATTAGAGATGTTAAAAATGTATCCATATTGATCCATCAACTGTAATAAGTGTATCACACTACTTCAAGAATTTAACAGTAGCAACTGAAGAAGATATGAGAAATCTATTTTTTAAAATAATTACCTGTATAGCTACATACTTAAGTCTGACTGAGAGGCTAGGTGCCAGTGACTCACATTTGTAATTCTAGCTATTCAACAGAATGCGATTTTAGGATTGAAGTTTGAAGCCAACTGAGACCAGGAAGTCCATGAGACTCATATCTAATTAACCAGCAAAAAACAGAAGTGGAAGTGTGGTTCATGTGGTAGAGTGCCAGCCTTGAGCAAAAAAAGCCAAGTAAAATAAGAGCATGAGGCTCCAAGTTCAAGCCCCAGTTCTGGCACAAAGTAGGCAAGGCAGAGACAGACACGGGATGGCTAGGGAGACCCAGCAAGCAATTGGGGAGCAGTGAATTCATCTGTGGACTATAAAGTTGTCCTGGTAGAGATGGCAAGAAAAGCTCTGTGAACTTAGCTGCTGTTTCTAAGGCTGATGGTGAGAAGGCAGAGAGGCTTTTCTTTTCAATTGCTTCAGATTGAAATATACTTTAACATTGTATAAGGTGGTCTGTTTGGGGTGACCTTCTGGTCTCCAACACCAGTGTTTTTTTTCTTGCATGAGAATTAAAATTTTCATAATCTTCTTATTCATTTTAATACATTCAGTAAAACACACCTTTTAATTCTGGGAATGGGGAGGTGTATTTCTCTTTCATATCTGCACAGAGAAGTCTGCCTCTGACCACACACCACCTGACACCAGATGCTTTCTTGTTAAAAAGCAAAACAAAAAAAACCCTCAGCAAACTAGAAGGGAACCACCTCAAATAAGTCTATAAATGAAGAGTCTGCAGCTATTGTGTTTGATGAAAGAGTTGATTTATCTATTGTTAGGATGAGGAAGACTAAGATGACCACAATCACTACTTTCATTTAGCATCACCTCAGAGGTTCTAGTCAAAGTAACTGGACAGAAAAAGAAATAAAAGGTTTCCAGCATGGAAAAGAGGTATTATTATGTCTGCTCAGTACATGAAGAAAATTATACTTCAGACTCAGCACAGTAAAATGATAACCAGCAATCAGGCTGCTTTTGTGAGGATCCCTACATTTTGCCCACTAGCTGGGTGACTTCTCTGCCTCAGTCTCCTCATCTGTAAAATGGAAAAACTGTTAATGCTCCAAAGGGTCATTTGAGAATTAGGTTAATTAATGTGTGAAGAATATAGAAAAGGCTGGTCACTAGTGAATCATACCTATAATCCTAGGGACTCAAGAGTCTTAGATCTGAGGAAAACAATCGAGATAGTTAAAAGCTAGCCTGGGCCAGGCGCCGATGGCTCAGGACTGTCATCCTACCTGTTCAGGAGGCAGAGATCTGAGGATCACGGCTTGGCTAAAAGCCAGCTCAGGCAGAAAAGCCCGAGATTCTTATCTCCAGGAAGTGACGCTGTGGCTCAAAGTGGTAGAGCACTAGCTTTGAGGTGAAGAGCTGAGGGACAGCGCCCAGGCCCAGAGTTCAAGCCCCACGAACAAAAAGTCTGGACAGAGAAGTCTGAGACCCTTATCTCCAGTTAACAAACAGGAAACTGGCAGGGGCACTGTAGGAGAGCGACCGACCCTGAGTTCAAATCCCAGTGCCAGCATGACTTTCTTCAGGAATTTAGAAGAGTGGCAATGTCATTGCAAGAGCTCTAACATCCACAGAACCTGGCCTTGAAAACAAAACCTAGAGATCAGACGCACCCAAGGACGCTAGGGGAGCCACAGCGAAGGTGGACCGGGGAGGGGGGGGAGGACGGGGGAGCTGCCACCAGATCTTTCGGCCGCCTTGCCTCGCCTCGTGTTGGTTGGAGGCTCTGCAGTGGCCCCGGGAGCCTAGCAGGGAATCCAGGGATCCTTCCCCCCCCCCCCCCCCCGCATCACGTCCTGACACCGACCCACCCGAGCACTGCGGCGCGCACGCGTGGCACCAAAGCTGCCAGTAGGCGTGCGCGAGCGCACAGAGGTGGCTCTGCTGCGCCGCCCCGTGCCGCCCCGCGCGGCTCCGCCCCGCGTTGTTCAGGGAAACAGAGGCGTGGCTCCGCGCTTGGTTTGCATCCAGGGGCTGGGCATGCGGAGATTGGCGGGTTGCGGTGCGCAGCGATGGACGGAGCAGAGCGAGCGATGATTGGTGAGGTGCAGCGAAAGAGGAGTACGTCGATTGGCTGAATGAGGGTCATAGGCGTGGCTAGGAGCGCGGGGATTGGCGGGATGCGGCGCGCGGCGCGGTGAGTGTAGTTCTTCCTAGCGGGATCTTCGTGGGGCTTTGGGTCAGAGCTGGGGACCTCCTGGGTCTGCGGGATCGAATCTCCCAGGGCTTCCACCCAGCTGCGTAGGACTGAGCTGAGGAGGCGGTCCCGGGGTCCAGTGCTTGCCCCTGGTTGGGAACGCCGAGAGGGCCGCAACCACCTGGTGCACGTTTGGTTACATTCAGATTCTCCCTTTGAGCGAACACGTATATTTGAGACCAGAGACGGCAGTAGAGGTGGATCACACGCTATAGAATGTTCACTGTATTTTAAAAAAAATCGCATCAGCCTGTAATCCTAGCTACTCAGGAGGCTGAGATCTGAGGATCGCGGTTCAAAGCCAGCCCGGGCAGGAAAGTCCATAAGACTTTTTTTTTTTTCTTTCTTCTTCTTTTTTTTTTTTTGTCGGTCGTGAGCCAGAACTCTGGGCCTGGGCGCTGTCCCTCAGCTCTTCAGCTTAAGGCGAGTGCTCTACCACTTGAACCACAGCGCCACTTCCGGTTTTTTCTGCTTATGTGGTGCTGAGGAATAGAACCCAGGGCCTCATGCATGCAAGGCAAGCACTCTTGTCACTGAGCCACCTTCCCAGCCCTCCGTGAGACTCATCTCGAATAAACCACCAGAAAACCTGAAGTGGCCGGTGGCTCAAGTGGTAGAGCGCTTGCCTTGGGCTGAAGAGCTGAGGGACAGTGCCCAGGCTGAGTTGAAGCCCCACAACCGACAAAAAGAAATCGTATCAAAAAATGTAAAAGGATGGGCTGGAAATGTGGCTTAGTGGTAGAGTGCTTAGCATGCTCGAAACTCCGGGTTCGATTCCTCTATCACATAAACAAAAAGCCAGAAGTAGCACTGTGGTTCAAATGGTAGCGTGCTAACTGTGAGCAAAAGAAGCTCGGGGACAGTGTCCAGGGCTCGAGTTCAAACCCTAGGAATGGAAGGAAAGGAGGAAGGGAGGGAAAAAGGGAAAGCAAGCAGAAACAAGGAAGCTATGTCTGTTCATGACTACTACATCCAAACTAATACATCCAAATACTTGAACTGTACATGAAAAGCATGTTGTCATATTTATCCATGCCGCAAGTACATGCCAGCTTTTCTGTGTATGGCAACAGTGCAGTTCTAGATACTGGTAATACCTCTAGACATAAAACAACTCAAAACCCTCCTGGAGCCCAGAGTATAGCTGGAGGAGTGAAACAAATTTTAATATATGATTGGTTGGAAGGTAAATGCTGTGGACAATGTACCAGGGGAGAGCTGCAATTATAAATTATCAGAGAGAAGGCAAATTTTGAGTAAAAACTTGGAGGCAAAGATCCAGTGAACTCTGCAGCTGTATGGGAGACCATCAACAGAACTAGAGCGGCCTTTGCTTGCCCTGCTGTGCAAGGCACCCTAGGATAAGGAGTGAGCAGCACTGGGAAGGGAGCAGCAACTGGGCAGTGGCACAGATCTTAAAGGCTATTGTACGGACAGACAGGCTTTATTTGATGAAATTAAGGAGTCTTTGCCAAGTTTTGAGCAAAGTAATGACTATTTTTCTTTGGTTTTAATTCATTTTTAAAATTAATTTGCTGCTTCATTATTAGCTATTACTATTGGACTGTTTATTAAGAAGTATGGCTTCAATCCCAGAGCTTGAGGTGGGTGCCAGGGAGCCAGGTGGAGGCTGGTGTGATTTAAGATCCTGGTAGTTTTCCAGGCAGATATGTAGAGCAGTTAGGGAATGCCTGAACTTGGAGTTTAAGAGAAACATTCCCAGCTTTCCTATCTGGATTAAGTGTTTTATGTTGGGTTTTCTTTGTGGGGGGGTGGGGGAGTGGGCTGGTCCGGTCCTTGGGCTTGAACTCAGGATCAGGTGCTGTCCTTTGAGCTTTTTGCTAAAGGCTAATACTCAACCACTTGAGCCATAGCCCCACCTTTGACTTTTTTGGCAGTTTAGTGGAGATAAGAGACTCACAAACTTTCCTGCCCAGTCTGGCTTCCAACCTTGATCCTCAGATCTCAGCCTCTTGAGTAGCTAGATAGGATTACAGGAGTGAGCCACCGTCCCAGCTTGAATTAGGTTTACATTGCGATATCTGAATCCAGATACAGTATACTGTTCCAGGGGGATATCACATCTGTTCCCCTCATTCCTAATGCCCATTGTACAATGTGGTAGCTTGGATGGGACACTAAGAGAGCTGCTTCCGGGGCTAGAAAGGTGGCTCAGTGGTAGAGCGCTTGCCTTGCATGCCTAAGGCCCTGGGTTCGATTCCTCAGCACCACATAAGCAAAATGAAAAAAGCCGGAAGTGGCGCTGTGGCTCAAGTGGTAGAGTGCTAGCCTTGAGCTGAAGAGCTGAGGGACAGCGCCCAGGCCCAGAGTCCAGGCCCCACGACCGGACCAAAAAAAGAAAGAAAGAGCTGCTTCCTTGGGTTCAGGCAGAGCTGGCAGTAGTGTCTTTTGTGTTCTTACAGTGATCCTCCTGGACCTAAGCACAATTGTCTGTTGGACAGAGCAAGCCAGGAGTGCAGCCATGTTTTCTGAGCAGGCTGCCCAGAGGGCCCACACCCTGCTCTGCCCACCCTCAGCTAACAATGCCACCTTTGCCCGGGTGCCTGTAGCAACTTATACCAACTCCTCACAACCCTTTCGGCTTGGAGAACGAAGTTTTAGCCGGCAATATGCCCACATTTATGCCACTCGCCTCATCCAGATGAGACCATTCCTCGTGAGCCGGGCCCAGCAGCACTGGGGTGAGTGAATTTGGGGTGTACTTCTCCTACAGCCCCAAATATAGAACCAGTACCTCTTCTAACTTAATCTAATTTTTTCTAATTTAATTTCCTTCCCAGTTACCTTACCAAATTAACCATTTCTTTTCAAGATAACAAGAGTTAAATTAATTAATCTGTGAATTGAAAGTTAGGCTTAAAGAGGTAAGAGCTGGGGCTGGGAAGGTGGCTCAGTGGTAAAGTGCTTGCCTTGCATGCATGAGGCCCTGGGTTCGATTCCTCAGCACCACATAAGCAGAAAAACCCAGAAATGGCGCTGTGGCTCTAGTGATAAGAGTGCTAGCCTTGAGCTGAAGAGCTGAGAGACAGTGCCCAGACCTAGAGTTCAGGCCCCATGACTGACAAAAACAAAAAGAGGTAAGAGTTTAGCTCTGGTAGTGACAGTGAATATTTTATTGACAGAAGGAAATGTTTCCCTATCTTCCATGCAAACTACTCAATTGTGTGTCACACCATACCTATAGAGCCCCTCAGCATGGCAGGCCTGGCACCAATGCCATAGTCTTGAGGGACCCCTGTGTTTTCATCGGTATCAACTCCTGACCTGCATTGGTGGCCATGAGTCTTCTAGTCTTCTGTCTCTTGGGAGTACATATGTGCTTTCTTGTTGTCTTGCTTTTTCTCTCCCTACCTGCCCCCACTCCTCTTCTTCCCTCTCCCTCCCTCCTAAAGGCCTGGGCAATACAACCCTTTTTCTTTTCCCCATTTCTTCTTCCTTCATGACTATGGGGGCAAAGCATTACAAGTACTTTCCTGGGTGTCTCAAGACCACAGGTATTTATTCTCAGACAGTTCTGGAAGTCATAGCACCAGTAGGACTAGTTCCCTCTGGAGGTTCAACAGGAGGCTCCTTCCTGCCTCGTCCAGCTCCTAGTGACTTCAGATGGTTCCAGGCTGTGTCCCTGTCCCATCTTACAGAGCTTTCCTGCCTTCTCTCACAGAGGACATTGGGTATCGAGAGTCCAGCTACATCTAGAGCCTCTTATCCCTCTTGTCTAGGCAGTGGAGTTGGAGTGAAGAAGCTGTGCGAGCTGCAGCCAGGAGAGAAGTGCTGTGTGGTAGGCACCCTGTTCAAGGCCATGCCACTCCAGCCCTCCATCTTGCGGGAGATCAGCGAGGAGGTGAGACCTGCCCCAGTAGGCATTGATGTGCCACCTTCCTCCAAGGGCATCAGAGCTGGGCCTGTGCCTGTGGGGACAAGGGAGCAGGTCTAGAAGGGTGAGTGATGCCATCTTAAAACAGAGAAGCTAAGGTGGCTTTGGCCCTGAGGCTACCTCTCATCTCTGCCTTCCAGCACAACCTGCTACCCCAGCCTCCTCGCAGCAAATATATCCACCCCGATGACGAGCTGGTCTTGGAGGATGAACTGCAGCGTATCAAACTGAAAGGCACCATTGACATTTCAAAGGTGGTCACAGGTAGGAGCCCAGCAGGTGGAAAGGGAATCTGAGATGTTGGAGAGATCCAGAAGGGAGCGGTCTGCAAGGTGGTAGGAGTGAAGACAGCCTGTGCATGAAAAACTGGCACCCTAGAGTTCATGGGGAAGTAGGTGTGGGTTCTGGCAAGAGGAGGCTTTCAACGATGGCTCTTCCTGCCTCCATCCAGAGGCTGTGACCCAGGAAGTAGGCATTAGCCCAGAGTCTTTTGAAAAGAGTTCACCAGCATAGCCCAGAGGTATGGGTTGTTTTGCCTGTCTGGCTGATGGGAGAAGGTGGGAGAACCTGGATTCCCTCTCAAGGCCAGACTTCGCCATTCCACAGGAGTAGTCCTGGCCGTGTTGGGCTCTGTGAAAGATGATGGGAAGTTTGAGGTGGAGGACCATTGCTTTGCTGATCTTGCTCCACAGTTGCCTGCACTCCCACTTGACACAGACAGGTGAGAATCCCACTATCTATTTGCAGAGGCTACTTACTTCCTTAGCACCTTTCAGGACCCCATCCTCTCTGCAGGTTTGTGCTGCTGGTGTCCGGGCTGGGCCTAGGCGGAGGTGGTGGTGAGAGCCTGCTGGGCACCCAGTTGATGGTTGACGTGGTGACAGGGCAGCTTGGGGACGAAGGGGAGCAGTGCAGTGCTGCCCATGTCTCCCGGGTCATCCTCGCTGGCAACCTCCTCAGCCACAGCACCCAGAGCAGAGATTCTATCAACAAGGTATGGAGCGGAGCCTCCTGGATGCACTTGGTCTACCTGCTGCCCTGTGGCACTGCTTTCCTGGCATGCAGAACCTTTAAGAAGTTCAGGGTCTGTGGGCACCTCCATATCTACCCTCTGGGGAGTTTGCTCCATTCTCCTCAGTGTTGAGGACCCAGGTGGGCTCCGGCTGTCACTCTGTCCTGAATCCCACTCAGACTTAATAGCCTCCTGGGCTTCTACTCCCAGGCCAAATACCTCACCAAGAAAACCCAGGCAGCCAGCGTGGAGGCAGTCAAAATGCTAGATGAGATCCTCCTGCAGCTGAGCGTGAGTGACTAGGACCTGGTTGGGTTGGGGGTTGGGGAGAAGCTTCCATTAGGTAGGGGGAGGGGGTGGCCAGAGGAGAGACGGGTAGATTCCTTGGGGCCTGTGAACTCTCCCTGCCCTGTGCCCTTCAGGCCTCCGTGCCCGTGGATGTGATGCCAGGGGAATTTGATCCGACCAACTACACACTCCCCCAGCAGCCCCTGCACCCTTGCATGCTCCCACTGGCCACTGCCTACTCCACCCTCCAGCTGGTCACCAACCCCTACCAGGCGACCATCGACGGAGTCAGGTAGACAGTGTGACATAAGGATGGGGCATGGGCATGGGCAGGGCTGCAGAGGGCCTTCCTGGTGTCTGCCTTCCCTAAAAGGTTGGCCTGGGACATCCTGATGAGAGCACCAGGTGGGCTCCCAGACAGGGGTCAGCAGAGCCTTGCTTCACAGGTTCCTGGGGACATCAGGACAGAACGTGAGTGACATTTACCGATACAGCAGCATGGAGGACCATTTGGAGATCCTAGAGTGGACCTTGAGGGTCCGACACATTAGCCCCACAGCACCTGACACCCTAGGTAATAGCTGGGTCACACTGGTGGACAAGGGAGCCAGGCCTGGTTCCCACAGGCTTGTACTAACAGTCTTACACTTATCTATTCTGGAATCCCCCCTAAACTTTTTCTTTTTAATGGGGCTTGAACTCAAGGCCTAGTGCCCTCCCTTAGCTTTTTCCTTCAAGGCTGGCGCTCTACCACTTGAGCTACATCTCCACTTTCGGGTTTTCACTGGTTAATTTGGAGATAAGATGGATTTGTCTGTCTAAGCTTCTAACCACAATCCTCAGATCTTAGCCTCCTGAGTAGCTAGGATTATAAGCATGAGCACCCAGCTTGACTCTAGACTGTCAATTTTATCTATGGCCAAGGCCTGCTCAGAGCTGGAGACCATGGAGATACGCTAGAAGCTTGAGTACCCCCCCCCCCCTCCCCCCCGCTCTCTATAAAGGCAAAGGCAGCAGGGGGTCCACACCTGCTTCTTGATCCATGTGAAAACCTAGTGCCGTATTGGGGTGGGGTGGGGGGAGGGAGTGCTGCTATTAGTATTTAGTGGGAGGAGGTTAAAATGTTGCTACATGATATGTGCAGAGCAACCCCATGGTGGGATTGCCCTGTACAGAGGCTGAGAAGCCCTGCTCAGCACCAGGTCCTTCTCCAGGCTGTTATCCCTTCTACAAAACTGACCCCTTCATCTTTGCTGAGTGCCCTCATGTCTACTTCTGTGGCAACACTCCCAGATTTGGCTCCAAAATTGTCCAGGGTAAGTTTTGCCTTCTCAGGGGCCCAAGGCCTGAGCTCTCACCTGGAGACAGGGATCCTGTAGGAAGACAGCCTGGGATCTGCCTAGTGGCTGACATATTATTTGGGTGGCCACACTGACTGGGTGGGATCTGAGCCATGTGCCTCTGGACAACCCTCCACTGTGGCTCCTGCGTACTTCTGGGGGCTTCTCTGTGGAGTATGCCTAACCCAGAATGTAAGGTGGATCCACACGACTGCTTGGCAGGCCCTGAGGACCAGATGGTGCTGCTGGTAGCTGTTCCTGACTTCAGCACCACACAGACTGCCTGCCTGGTGAACCTGCGCAGCCTGGACTGCCAGCCCATCAGCTTTGCTGGCTTTGGAGCAGAGGATGACGACCTAGGAGACTTGGGGTTGGGCCCCTAACTTGGGCAACTGGACTAGGCATCTGCTCTTCAAATATGAGCCTTGTAAATAAAGCATGAATGTTTGCTAGGCTGAGCCTTGAGCTTCTGAGCATGCCTGGAAGGAGGCCCATGTGGAATCCCCAGTGAGGTTGGCCTCATCTCCCAGGACTGGTCAGAACAGCAGAGATCAGTGCCATGAGCTAGTTTTATTGGTGTGGCCTTGGCTTCCTTGCCTGCTTCTCCCCAAAGGCTGACAGGCAGAATAGGAGCCTCTGTACAGACTCTGGCTCTTGGGTCTGATGGCCTTAGTGTCCCTGGGGGTCCCTCTCAGGGACCTTCCAGTTACTGGTGGCTGCTGTCTGCAGGTGTAGGCTTAGAAGTGCTGCTGTAACTTGAACTGGGCCAGGGTATAAGCGGGACCCTGGTCTCAGAAGTCCCCAAAGTTCACTGTGTAGGTCTCCACTGTCGAGAAAGGATATGTGAGGCCAGTGGCCATCTCTTCCTCTTCCTCTTCTTCAGGCTCTAGCAGGGTCCCAAACTCTGTCCCAAACTCTGTCACCACCTCTGTGTAGGTCTCAGTCTCTGACTCCTCCCAGCTCATAGTAGATGTGGGTGGAGGGTCCCAGGTGCCCCCGGTGGTGCCAGAGTTGGGGGCAGGCAAGGGGAGGGTGGTGAGATCGGGGGAGAGGCTGGGGGCAGGGCCCACAGTGGCATTGAGACGCCGCTGCCGCTGCTGTTCCCGTAGCCGCAGCCGGTATTGCAAGCGGCGCTGCTGCATGCGCCGTTGCTGGGGGGTCATGGGGCGTGAAGGGTCAATGCGCGGAATGGGCCGGTTTCCATTCATGGCCATAATCTCCCGGATGCGCTTCCAGTTGGAGCGAGCCAAGATGAAGTTGCACTGGGTGGCCCCGATATCATAGTCCACGTTGCATGTCTTGGCGCTTGAGGTATAGCCCTCTGCGTGGGCTGTAACGCGGTACTCACCCGGGTTCAAGATGCGCCAGTAATCACCACCACTTGCTGCCCAGGAAAGACAAACCTGGTTGTCCTGGAGCCCCTCAGCTCCACCCTCCCTCCCTGATCCTCCCAAGCCCACCCTCTCCTAGAAGAGGAAGCATGGCCCTGCTGGGTGGCCACACAGATTTGGTCCCTTTTGCTAATGCTACTTGGAATGAACCAGGTGGGCCCACCTGAGAAAGGCAGGTAAGAGTGTGCACATACAGTACCTGTCTTCACACCATGGTTGATGCCGTTCACAGAGATGGTGGCATTGGCAATAGGGATCCCTTGCTCATCTGTCACCACGCCCTTGATACCACGGTGCACCTGTAGAGGGGAAGAGGTACAAGGGACCAAATGAAGACCCCATACTCAGGATCCCACTCTGCCCTAGACTTCACCCTCCCTGGCTCAGCCCCCACTGCCCTACCTGTTCCATGAAGGTGAGTAGGGCCTCCTTGTTGTTCTCCCATTCTCTCGGTAGCTCGCTCTCATGTGGGAACTTGTCACAGCCCAGGTAGATAGACAATTCCAGGCAGTTGGTGTGCAGATAACTGAAGTCATTGATAGCTGTACAGACAAAATCCCATAGTCACCCTCTCCCTGGGGTACAACACCCCTTCTTCCCCAACCTCCCAAGTTTACTTACTTCCAGACCGGGGATTCCACTTTGCTCCATTGACAATGCCCATGCCACTGGTGTAGTCTTGGGCCTGGCACCCTCCTCGGTAGGGTTCAGTCATGGTGAGATGGGCAGAGGCAAAGGAGATGGCCAGCCAGCGGAAGATTGCATGGTCTGGGGTCTCCTGGGCCTCAGATGCCTCTTCATCATCCTCTCCACGGGCAGCTGCCATGGCTGCAGCCAGGAGCTGCTCCTGGCTGGGGGTGCGGGCCATATCATAGGGGTAGGACACAAGCCGCTCACCACCATTCAGATTTGCTCCCAGCACAAAGGGGTTTTTCTCCATCCAGGCAATGATGGCCCGCACCTCTGTGGATACCTGCAGGTAGCCAGCACAGGAGACCAGTGCTCCATCAATGAAATGTAGGAGTCCCTGGCCACAAGTTCTGTGCTCCCTTTGTCCTGTCCTTGCCCTTCTGACTCCTTCTCCAACCTAAGTCTCAGTTCCTGCAGCTCAGCCACTCACCAGCTCCCTCTACACCAAAACTGCTGGGTTTGTTCCTCACCGTGGCATCTGGGGACAGGTAGCGTTCGGGGATGGGCAGGTTATTGTTGGGGACCCGGTAGGGGACCCATTTCCTTTCCTCAGCTCCCCAGAGCACAGAGTTGAGATCCGGAAAGTCCTCAAAGATGTCAAAGCCTTCCTCAGTCCACAGTCCCAGGGCCCAGTTCCCAAACTCAGAGCCCTAGGGAGAGCAGACAGTCACCTTGGTTGCCCATGGCCCCTGCCCCCAGCTACACCTAATTAGTCCCACACCCACCATCTGAGCTGCCACTTCATAGCCATCAGGATTCAGTGAGGGCACCAGGTGGATGCGCGTGTCCTGCACCAGGCTGCGTACACGAGGGTTTCCGTCACGGTACTCGCGGCACAGGTATTGCATGAGCAGTAGCAGTAGCTCTCGACCCAGCACCTCATTGCCGTGGATCCCAGCTGTGTAGCGGAACTCGGGCTCCCCTGGAAGGGCAGTAGCCATAGCAAGCACTCACTTTGGCAAGGTCTGGGGCACCTGAGAAAGAAGGCTTGAAGACAGGCCTGAATCTCTGCAGGAGCTCCCATACCAACTGTACAGGCTGAGGAGTGTGAAGTTCTTGTGCAGTGTGAAGTTGTAGCCTTTAATTCTGTGTGGGAGGAAGCTGAGGCTCCCTCCCATGCAGCACAGAGCCCAAGATACCCAAGGTGTTAGCAAAACACCCTCAGGCCCTTACCCGGCTCATGCTCCCCGGGGTTGTCCGAGATCTCCATGGCATAGATTTTAAGGCCTCGTGAGCTCTTGCCAAGGCTGTATGTGCGGGTAATGGTGGGACACTCCTCGTTCACCACCTTCATCAGCTGGCAGGGAGAGGGCACTGTGTCACTGACCATCCTCCCCCACTGTTCTAGGGGGAAGGACAGACAACCCCAGTCTCTCTCAAGTTTACCAGGACCTAACCTCCTTTCTTTCTTTTTTTTTTTCCCCTGATTTGGGGCTTGGATACTGTCCCTTAGCTTTTTCCTCTCAAGGCTGGCACTCTTGAACTACATCTCCATTCTGGCTTTTTGTTAGTTAATTGAAGTTAAGAATTTCACAGATGCCTCCCCCAATCCCCCCCCCCCCCCCCCCCCCCCCCCCCGCCGCCGCCCTAGCTGACTGAGGATCATGATCCTCAAATGTCAGCCTCCTGAGTAGTAGGATTATAGGCTTAAGCCCATAGCTGCCTCCTTGGAACAAAGAACAGCCAATGTTCCCCTGGAACCCATGGCACTGGGCCTGTCTGGTTGCTCCAGCATGAGGCTTGTCTGTCTGGACACAGGCTTCCAACCTGGCGCATGTCCTTGTAGCTGTGATGCCGGAAGTCCAGGTCATCAGTGGCCACGACTTCATTCTGTGCATAGTAGCTGTGGACAGCTGCAGGGGGGTAGGAGACGGGCAGGAAGGACTCTGTATAAGCTGCCTGTGGGACTACTGCAGGTTACCCCAGCCGGCTCCTCGGTACTCACGGGTCACTGGGCAGCCCAGCACCTCTAGCCGCAGGCACAGGCTGCCATTCCAGGTGAGTGGGTAAATGCGAATAAAGCGGGCCACCACTGGTTCTGGGAGCTCACTCAGCACAGGTGTGTCCTTATCCACATTCCCATGGAAGGTCTGAAGAGGGACAGGCCTCAGTGTAGCTGCTCCCAGGTTTTCCCCCAACCCAGATGACAGGAGCAGGGTAAAGGGTTTGGGCACCCACCATTTCTTCATAGCCATTGGAGTACATCACCCACGTCTGGCTGTCGTTGCTGAAGCCCACAAAGAAGCTGGTCACGAAGTCATCACTGTGGAACAGATATGGTCAGGGCAAGGCTGCTCTTAAGCCTCTGGGCCCCTTTTCTGAGAGAGCAGAACTGTGGAACATGGTCTGAGTATCAGGAGCCAGGTCTCAGGCCTATTTGTATGCATGAGCAGTCTGTTAACTGATTTTGTATGACCATCTGAACATAGAGACTGACTAGCCATGGCTGAAGGGTGCAGTTTGCTGTTGTTATTTTGCAATTCTGGGGATTGGACTCAGTGTCTCACACTTGCCAGACAAGCAACCTACTACTTGAGACACATACACCCCAGTCCATTTATTTCTAGGGCTTTGTTTTTCCCCCAGATATGGTATTTTGGGGCTAGCTTTTCCTGAGCCAGTCTTGAACTGTGTTCCTTTATCTTTGGAATAGCTGGGAACTCGGATGTCTACCAACACTTGTGGCTTGCTTTTGAGATTAGGTCTCAGGGACTTTTGCACAGCCTGGCCTCAGACTTCAGTTCTTTCTCTGCTTTCTGAACAGCTAAGATTACATATGTGCGAAACACTCATACTGGGTTTTTCTACCCTTCCTGGGCCAGCTCAAGGGCCAACTATAATGTCCCCAGTGGGCCTGAGAGCAGTGCTAGAGCCTTGCCCACCACTCGAGCACCCATTTACATACTGGATGCTGGAGTCCCGGCCCTGGGTGATGATGCCGGTGAACCGGGTTGTCCTTCTGGTGTCCACCTCAATCCACTGGGTCTGTGAGTCATCCTCGGCACACCAGGCCCCATCATAGTAGTCATCTTCATTGGCACCAGCCTGTTGAAGGGGAGGCTGAGCATGGCAGAAGAGCCCTTGCCTGCCTGAGTGGGCTGTTTGCTCACCCACCTGAATATTGAGCCGGCCACGCTGTGCTCCGAGGCCATGACGCAGCATGGAGGAGGCTCGGATTTGGTTGTCCTCAATGCGGTGTGACTCCATTCCAATGGGTGGGCACTCTGAGGACATATACCCCAGGAAGGTGGCTTGGGAGCTTGACCCTCCACCAATCCAGAGCCAAGGAGCTGGCAGTCCCCATTACCTCACTTTAGAGGAGCCAATCAGAGGTCAGATTTGCAGCTACTGGCTTTGAATACTGCAGACTTCACCCACCTGGAGGGGACTCAGACCCAGATCAGAAGCCCCATTGCCCACTGCCTGCTTCCCCACTTGCTGGGCTTTAGCTGCTTCAGCTGGAGACTGGACTGATGACACTTGGTTTTCAGACTCAGGGATAAATCCCAGGCAAAACCATTGCAGGGCCCAGTTCATTGCCAAAATTCACCCAGATGAGGACAGCTGCACACCAGCCTCACCTCACAGGGACACCTGTGAAGGCAGCTAGAGCACCTCACTTTCTATCCAAGGCCCTAGATTTCCCCACCAACAGCCAATCTCTGCCTCGGGCAGCAAGCCATCTGTAGGTCAGAGCATAGCTAAAGCCAAGCAAGGATGTTCTTGGCTCCTTGGCCTCTCCTTTCGGTGCTGCAAGAATCTTAAGTTCAGCTGAGCACCTGTAATACTAGCTACTCAGGGAGTTGAGATCATGGTTTGAAGCTAGCCCAGGCAGACAAATCCTAGAGACTTATTTCCAATTCACCAGCAAAAAAGCTAGAAGTGGAGGTATGGTTCAAGTGGTAGAGGGCTAACCTTGAGCAGAAAAGGCAAAGCAAGAGTGAGGCCCTCAGTTCAAGCCCCAATATTGGCATGTATGTGTGCACAGATGCATAAGCATGTGTGTGTGTGTGCGCGCATGCGCGCACACACACACGAATCTTAAAGGAAAGTCTTTTGGGGACCTAAATCCCCATCAAGAAATCCATGCTTACATGTGTAACCATGAGCAAATCACTGCTGATACCTCCACCCTGTTGCTCACCAACACACCACCAGCCCTACTCACTGATTTTCTCCACTGGGGTCCACTCCTCCTCCAGATCATCACCCTTCTGGGATCCTGTCAACAAGGAAGGGAGAGGTGGAGCCAAGGGCCTGAGTCAATATGCATCCAGATGCTGCCCCATGGAATCAGCATGTTACATACCTTTGTGGTCCTTGCCCTTCACCTCAGTCCATTTGTCCTCTGTCTCCTCCTTGGGGCTACTGCCCTCCTTTTTGGGTTTCTCTGGAGGGTGCAAGGAAGAGGAGGCTGGTCAGCCTGGCCCTGGGCTTGTGAGGGTGGTCAGACTGAGCTGGGGCACACCAGAGTGGGAGGAAGAACTGGCCTTAAGGGTGACTGGTCCCACTCACTCAGCTCTTCCTTCTCTTCATCTGTCTCCTGTCCAGGGTCAGGTTTCCGTGGTGGGGGATGCGGGAAGTAATAGTCCACTGCAAGGAGAAAACTAAGTATAGGAGGCCCTGAACCTGTGCTAAAGCCTCTGGGACAAGGCTGGGCTGGGACTGAGGGGAGAGAGGCAGAGAACTTGGGAAGTCAAATGAAAGGAATAAAACCCTGCTGAGGTCACCAGCCTGTCCCCTCCCCACCCCACCCCCACTCCCCCGCCAGGAAAGGAAGAATCCAGGCTGGGCAGCGATTGGCACCAGGGCAGGAATCTAAGTGATATCTGGTGTCTGTGGTCTTGAGATCTGATGCAGGACCAAGGGTTAGAACCACGATGGGGGCTGTGCCTAGGAGAAAGGGAATCTGAAGGTTCCCTCAGGCCCTGGGAAGGGCAGGGAGAGCGCTAAGGGAGTGAAGTACAGGAAGGTGCTTGGGTAGGACAGCTGGCAGTGAGCTAGTAGAAAGGAGTGAAGACCATAGGACAGGGAACCTACACTGGATGATGGGACTGAGAAGGCCTAGAAGCCTGACCACATTCACAGCCCTGGCGTCCATTGGTCTGCACCCCATGGACTTAGGCACTGGATACTCACTGTCATCATAGTTGGGGATCACGTAGCCAAGGCACTGGATACTCACTGTCATCATAGTTGGGGATCACGTAGCCATCCCCATAATCTGGGGGCAGCAGAGGCTTCAAAGGTGGCTCTATGGAGATAAGGAGGTGGGAGTGGGCCAGAGCACCTCCCTGTGCCCCTCCCCCCTCTGCACCCTGTCTTACGGTTGTCCTTTCCCTGGAGCTCCTCAGCCTTCTCCTCAGGGCGCTCAGGCCAGAACCTCCTCCTGCTAGGTGGTGGCCTGGGCCGCTTCTGGCGCCGGATATACTCAACTGGGAAGGAAGCAAGCTCTGAGACATGGCCTCAAGCAGAAGCATCTGTGCCCAGGCCAAGCTCTGATCCATACCAGGGGGGCTACTCACAGTCTTCATAGTCCTCCCTCTCTATCTGGTCATTGTAGTCCAGTGTGGGCACCTCCGTCTCCTCCTCTGGCTCTGAGGGGAAGATGCCAGTGGCTGCCTGACTGTTCTACCCAGGCCCATTCTGGGTACTTCAAGCTTGAAGGTCATTAGCCTGAGGCCAAGAGGATGTCAGCCACTCACCAGGCTGAAGTTCCCGGGCTCCCATTTGGGTTTCCTCTCCTTGACCCTGCCAGGTGTTTGAGGAGGCCTCCCCTGCAATACAGACCCCCAGATACAAATGTTCATGACCATCTCCCCAGGCCCTGGGGATAATGTTTTCATACACTGTGCCACACGTGGGGGACTCCTGGGGAGCATTGCCATAGGCTTCTGCCACTGAGCAAGGGAGAAAAAGAACCTGTGAGCTCAGAGGAGAGGACAGAATGCCAGCTGCTAAGTGTTCTCTCTGCCCAAGAGATACTGAAGCCCTGAGGAAAGTCCACAATAATGCAGAGGCTCCAGAGCCTACCTTGTCTGTAGAAAGCAGGGTCCCAGGAATCTACTCTCACCCACCTTTCCCCCTGAACACATAAGCCCAGAATAGCTTAGCACAAACCTCCTTCCTGGGGTGACTCTTCAGGGCCAGGACTGGGTGGCGTGGGCAGTGGCCACTCTAGGGTTTCTAGGGGGGCTGGAGTATGGGAGAGTTTCTTCCCTAACAGAGGCTTCTTGGTGGCTTTGGGTGGCTTCTCTTTGGGTTTCTTGGTGGCCTTGGGTAGCTTCTCCTTAGGTTTCTTGGTGGCTTTGGGTGGCTTCTCCTTGGGTTTCTTGGTGGCCTTGGGTGACTTCTCTTTTCCCTTCTTGGGTAGCCTGGGAGCTTCCAAGGGCTGTTTGGTTGTCTTGGGGCCTTTGTCCTTCTTCCCTTTCTTCCCTTTGTCTTTAGCCTTTTCTGGAGACCCTGTCCAAGACAGAGATGTAGATCAAACAGACAAGGCCTACTGCATCCCCATGTGGTCCTTCAAGATTCCTACAACTTGGTCACAGAGGCTCTTGCTGGTCCCCAGTATAGACAGGAAACAGGCTAAGCACTTACCCAAGTGGTAAAGCTGGAACTTTCTATCTGAAAGTCTAGGGCTGCCAACATCGCATGTCAGCCTCTCTCAAGATAGCATGTGACACTCAGTTTCCAGGGAGAGGCCACCCATCCCCTGCCAAGACCTCTACTGAGCCCACTCCCTCATGTATCCACTTGCCAATCATGGAGCTCTATTCTGCGCTGGGCATGGAAGGCACATGAGTGACTGAGCCATCTAGGCCTGAAGGAACAACTGTCCTCCCCGTAAACTACCCCAACAAAGTAAAGGTCATGGAACTTGGCCTTCTCTGAGATGTCCTTCCTATAGAGAACCTTTCTGTAGGTTTTGTGGGTTGTTTGTTTATGCCGGCACTGGGGCTTGAACTCAGGACCTGAGCTCAAGGCTTTTTGCTCAAGGCAGGAGCTCTATCACTTGAGTCATAATTCCATTTGTGGCTTTCTGCTGGCTAATTGGAACTAAAAGTACAGACTTTTCTGCCTGGGCTGGCTTTGAATTAAAAACCTCAGACCTCTGCTTCCTGAACAGCTAGGATTACAAGCATGAGCTGCTGGCTTTCTGTAGGGTTTAAAGCCCCAAAAGAAGGAGGAAGGTCTGGGGTAGATGGAAAGAAGGACCAATAGAGAGCCCTGGAGGTCACACAAAAGACAGAGGGACAAGCAGGAAGCTTTGTCACTACTGTAGCATGTCAAGGACTGTAGAAGTATGGACCCGAGGTGGGACTAACAAGCAGGACCTGTGAATGCTGCTGAGAATCTCATGGGGAATCAAAGACACGAGGGCAGTTTGGCTAAAATCCAGGAAGTTATAAAACACAAGCAGAAGTAGGACTGCTTCAACATTCAAGAGCCAGGAAAGACCTACAGCTGGGACTGCAGGGGGTGGAGGGGAGGGCTGCTGCCCTCAGGAATGAGGAATGGTGCCTTACTGTCTCCTGGGAGAGAGATCACAAGCTCTTTTGCCATCCTCCAAAGGGCTACAATAAACAGCCAAAACTGACTGACAACTGATTACGTAAGAGGCACCGGGTGACCTGCCTCAATCTAACTCTCCACTGCCCACTTTCACCTGCAAGTTTGGAGGGCAGAGATCTGCACCTACCTCCCCTGCCTGTTTGCTTCTGAGACCAGAGGTCTAGGGCAGGAAGCCTAGAGACCACAGAAAGACTGAAAGCCCATGGGAATGGCAGGTTGTTGATAGCATAATTCCCCCTGTGGCCCAGGCCTAGATCCTTTTAGGGTTTGGGGATGTCAGGATAAGCGACTAATTCCACAGGTCCTCCCAAAGCACCACAACACTCCGCAGCGGACATGCCTGAAGGTCCCCAGGCTCCACGCCTGGCACCGGGTCCCACGTGGGAGAAGGGATGAGCGGGCCATTCCTCATTGAGAGCAGCCGGGGGCGGGGGAGGGGGGGGGAGGTAGCCAGGCCCTCAAGAGCCCTGCGCCCCGTGGTGTCAGCCTCCAGTCCCCACTTCTCTCAGGAGGCGCTCACCTTCTGCGGCCGCCCTCGGCCTGCCCCGCTCCTGAGCTTTGCGGGCGCGCTGGGGGGGCTCCAGGGGCGGCAGAGCCTCCACGTCGTCTTCCCGGGGCTCAGGCTCAGGCTCCAACTCCGAAAGGAAGCCTTCGAGGAACTCCTCGATCTCGTCGTCGGTCAGCACCGTCTGCGGGTCCCCCCCGGGGCACAGGGCCAGTAGAGCCAGGAGGCTGCCGAGCAGGGGCGCAGGGCGCACGGCCGCCATGGCCCGGCACGGGTGCGGGACAGGGGTGTCGGGGGTGGGGCGCTGGAGGCCCTGGCGGGAGCGGGGAGGGAATCGGAAGGGTGGAGGAGTTGGGGGCTCCGGGAGGGCGTGCCGCGGAAGGATGCGGGGTGGAAAGGGCCGGGCAGGGGGTCTCGGGAGAGAAAGTGGGTCCAAGGACCTCAGGGCGTTGGCTGCAGTCGGGCCCTGCGGCCCCGCGTGGCTGGCTCCCGCGGCCCGCCCTCCGAAGTGCTGGCGGGGCCGGGGCGGGGGCGCCCGGGCTTCCGGAGCCGGAGCCGGTCCCCTCCGGGGGGCGGGGGAGGAGCTGGGCTTGAACCTTGGGCTGCGGGAGGGAATGGGCGGGACAGGCTCGGAACTGGTCAGAGCGCGAACTCAAGCGGAATTCCTCCTGGGCGGAGGGTCTGCAGGCCTAGAGGAGGGAAAGACGGGCGGGAGGCCGAGCGAGGGCTGAGGGGGCTATGCCCCTGCTCCGCTGTGCCCTCCGCACGCCCCGACCGAGTTCGGGGCCCACTGCATCCTTCCCGCGCTCTGGAGTCCCGGTGGCCTGGTTTTTCAGACTATCACCTGCTGCACGCCAGTGCCACCCCGCGTGGGGCCAGCCCCTCTGCTCCGCTGAAAGTACAGCAAGCTTGAGGAAACAATGGAAAATCATCTACGTGTTTTCCTGTGGGTAGGACCCCACGTAAAGGCATGCCATCACCCCTGGAACCTAACCTGGACATATATTTTTCTCCTTGCTCTTACCAGGACCCATTAAAAAAAAAAAAGAAAAAAGAAAACAGGCTGGGAATGTGGCTCAGTGGTAGAGTGCTGCCCAGCATGCATGAAGCGCTGGCTTCCATTCCTCAGTACCACATACACAGAAAAAGCCAGAAGTGGCGCTGTGGCTCAAGTGGTGGAGTGCTAGCTTTGAGCTGAAGAGCTGAGGGACAATGTCCAGGCTCTGAGTTCAAGCACCAAGCCTGGGAAAGAAAGAAAGAAAAGGAAGGAAGGAAGGGAGGGAGGGAGGGAGGGAGGGAGGGAGGGAAAAGAAAATCTCGGTAGCACCATCTATCACATGCCTCCAGAGGGTGCTAGACTAGTCTTAGAGCATTCCCTATCTATAGTGGTACTATCATGGTGCCAGCCAAAGGAGATTTCTCATGAGCCTGGTTTGTGCCATAGCTTCTAGAAGGTCAAATATTAACCCCAAGTGGTTATCATGGCTTAGGCCAGAGCTCCAAGAATATTCACTCTTGAAGGAATGAGGAAGCAAGATAAAACACACTTGTGTTTTTGCCATAAGGTCAGCTGCAGCCAGCCCTAAACCAAGATTGTCTGTGGTCCTTTGGCTCCACAACAGAGCCAAATAGGAGCTCTGAAATGATTGTGCAAAGTCTGGACCCCAAACTTTGCCTTCAGCAAAAAAATTTAGGAACAGCATCTAGGCCCTGAGTTCAAGCTCTATGACCAATAAAAGAAAAAGAAAGCCCCTGGACCCTGACCCCACCTACCCTAAGCCAGATGGAATAAGTGGGAGCCAAGGAGGCCCAGAATTGCTCCCTGTGAAGGGGAGGTCCCTCAAAGGCCTTGCCTTTGTTTTGCCTCTGGCTTTCCTTAAGAAGGCAGAGGTGTCGTATCAAGAGCTGAGCCCTGGGGTCAGTCCTGGGTCTGCCCCTCCTAGCCATCTGACCTCAGCAAATGACCTAAGTTCCCACCTCTACTTAAGGGGGATCATGTGTGTTCTGGGCTTAGCACATGTGTTCAGCCCTCATACACTCCAGCTGGCTCTTGGCTCTCATAATTTGCCCTGGAAACCAATTTCAATTATACATACAACAGTCCAGGCTTTCACATTAGTCCTACAGCCAGACCTTGACCTGAAAACTGACCCTAGTCTTGTCTCAGTCATAGCAAGGATGAAACAAGTCTGACCCACCACCATCCCCTACAAACCTCTGAATCATCATGCTCAAAACTGGTTCTGGGAATTCGCTCTGCTGTTCTTGGTCTAGTGTATCACGCTAGAGGCCAGAGACTGGCTGAGGACCTCACTTCCCTGAAAACGGCTAACACATGGATTGCATTTGGGTCTGGAAGCCTCTGCCAGGGAAAATAGAAACCATTTAGAAAATGAAGAAGAAGAAAGAAGAAGAGGAGGAGAAGCAGGAGGAGCAGGAAGAGGAGGAGGAGGAGGAAGAGGAGGAGGAAGAATAACAACAACAACTAAAAAGCTGCATTGAGTCACCAGCAGGAACATGAACAGAAGCCCCTGTGGGAAACTGGCCCCAGGAGGACCAGGAGTTAGGGGGCCTTCCTTCACCTCCTAACTAGGTAGTAGAGAGGGCAACTTCCTCCTCTTGATCCCTGCTTGGCTTAAAGATGTGACCCCAGGACATCATTTTGTCCTGAGTTCAGGGCTCTGCTTGGGTCTGAGGGCAATTACAGGACTTGTGAGGGGACCCCTGACCTCTACTGAAGAGCACATCATCTAAGTCAAACTCCCCAAAGACACAGCCATGGCTAGTCAGGGAAATGGGAGACTCATAGTCTCTGGGTCCAAGAGTTCTCAGAGGCTTCAACATCAAACAAAGGTAAAGCAAGATCATTTTTGCCATAGGTCAAGGACAGCTGCATCCAGCAGCTGGATAGGGTATCTGAATCCATAACCAAGTCCTCTCCAGAATGAACCCACCTTCCCTTCAGTGTCTCATGTGCATTTGGAAGGATCTGATTCAGAGACCTCCACAGATGACTCCTCCATGGTGTGGAGTAGGAGGAGAGCTCTGAGAAGAGCAGAGGAAACAGGTCTGAGGGAAACAGGAAAGATAAGAGAAGGATGTGGGCATCAGCTGATGTGTCCTGTGACACCATTGAGTGTCATTGAAGATGAACCCTGCCAAGATGGCCACCTACCAAAGAAAAGCCAGGAGAGGGAGGGAGGGAAGGAGAGAGAGAGAGTAGAGAGACAGACAGACAGACAGACAGACACACACACACACACACACACATACATATACCACACAGGTTGGATCAGGGGCACTGAAGAGGCCAGGGACAGTCTGCTTTCTGATGCCCTGCAGAGTCCCTGCAGGCCCTGGTGAGTGGAACATGGGAGCACACCTCTCCCAGTGGGGCACCAAGGCCTCTATTCTTCACAATAATACCTCTTCCTCGGGAAGAAAGGGCACCCACTATCATCCTAATATTAAGGTCAGGCTCTTGGGATGAGAAGAGGTACTGCCAACAGTACATTGAAACTTTGAGACTGAGCTTGACGGTATGGGTGGTATATGCTCATAATACTATCATTTGGGAAGCTGAAGTAAGAAGATCACAGGTTTGAGGGTAACCTGGTGTACAAAGTAAGACCCTGGATAGATGGGTGGAGGGATGGACAGATGAACAGACAGATAGATGAAAGATAATAAGCTAATTCAGTTTGACCAGCTATGACCTTGAGTAATGCCTACATTCCCCTAGGTTGAAAGGAGAGAGTGGCTTGGAGACCACTGATGGGAAAAAAGCTGTTCATTTGGAACAACCTTGCCTATGAGCAAGGCTCTAGGAAGCATCTGTCATTGGGGCAGGTATCATTCAGGGCTCCAGGGACAATGGTGACCTGGCAGATCTCATCTCTCAAGACCTCAGGGTCCCATTTTATCTACATAGTGACCACACAAGTTCCCCTGTCCTCTCACTCTCCATGTCCAGGGAGGAGGTCCCTAACTCCTTTGTGGCATATCTGAAGCTGATCTTCTCATGTTGCAGCTCCTTCTCATGAAGTTGGTGAGTCTAAAGATCCCAGAAGAAATTCACCCAACATCCTCTGCACCTAAATACACATCTCAGCTTCCCAAGTCTGTGCAACGACAGACTTGTCAGCAGGGCGCTGGCAAAATGTCATTCACTCTGTGTCTCCAAGGCTCCATGTACTGGCCTCTGGGGCTGGTGGGACAGAACATCATCTCTCAACCATCTAGCCCCCACCTGAGTCCCCTTGGCATAAGCCCAGGTAGCTCAGAGTTCCTAGGCAACTTGTATAGACCTCAATGTGTGTACATTTGCATGTATGTGTGTGCACACGCATGCATGCCTGTATGCTATTTATAGAGGTTTCCACAGTTGTCAGCCTGATAATGGCCCAGGGGTCCCAGCCTCAGAGGTGTGCAACCATACTCTGGAGACCCGAGGCTGAAGGGAAACAGGACCCAGAAGTCAGCAAGTTGAACCCCACGCAGATAAACACAGGTGAGGATCTGTATTCTTTGGAGGAAGAGGAGAGAGAGCTAGGCTGAACAGACTCTGTCCTCAGATCCTTCGAGGCATCTCCAGTTCTGGTGCAGCAAAGGAAGATGTTTGGCTTTGTTTTTGCCAGTACTAGGGCTTGAACTCAAGGCCTGAGTTCTACCATTTGAGCCACACCTCCACTTCTGTCTTTTTGATGGTTATTTGGAGATAAGAGTCCCATGGACTTTTCTTCCCAGGCTAACTTCAAACTGCAATTATCAGATCTCAGCCTCCTAAGTAGTTAGGATTAAGGTGTGAGCCACCCCTGCCCCAGTGAACTTTCCTATTTCTGGCAAGGAAATAGAGGTTCAGGGAAGGTTTATATATTAGGGTTGTGGCACAAAAGTGACAGAAAAGGACCTAGCTTAGCCCCCTGAGGAAAGTGACAGAAAAGGACCTAGCTTAGCCCCCTGAGGCTAAGCTGAACTCTCATTCTACATTGACTCCTCCACCTCTGACCATCAGGCAACAGGGCCATGACAGGGGCAGCGGGAAGGTAAGGTCAACCTGGGGCCTATGGTGCAATTCTTTTTTTTTTTTTTTCTTTTTGTCAGTTATGGGGCTTGAACCCTAAGCCCTGTCCCTCAGCTCTTCAGCTCAAGGCTAGTGCTTTACCACTTGAGCCATAGTGCCACTCCTGGTTTTCTGGTGGTTTATTGGAAATAAGAGTTTCACAGCTTTTCCTGCCTGGGCTGGCTTTGAGCTGCAACCCTCAGATCTCAGACTCCAGACTAGCTAGGAGTACAAAAATAAGCCACCGGTGCCCAGCCTATGTTACAATTCTTGAGCCAAGCTGCATCCTCAGCCTGACCAGAGACTAAAACTCACCTTTCCGCAGTCCTCTGCAGGTCTGAGCTCTAGACTGGGGGTTAGGGATTATAGGATCTCAGAACCCAGAGACAGGAGGTTTCCAGGGCCTGGGAGCCCTG